CTCCTCCTCCTCCTCCTCCTCCTCCTCCTCCTCCTCCTCCTCCTCCTCCCTCTCCTACCCATGGCAATGGTGGTGGGCAATGGGCCCGCCAGTCCTGGGACCCGGGGCCTCTTCGCCCAGGAGCGGCCGACTGATCCAGCGCCCGGGCCGAGGGCGGGCACCGCGAGCCAGAAGACGACCAGACAGCTCCTCCTCCTCCTCCTCCTCCTCCTCCTCCTCCTCCTCCTCCTCCTCCTCCTCTCTCCCTCTGGACCCGCTCGCTGCGCGGCGACCTGCCCGGGTGAGAATAAGGAGAAGAAACGCCCAGGTTCATGGAAGAAGAACACAGCGCCATAAACATAAAATGTTGGCGCTCCGCGCGGATTTCCTGGATCCGCGCGGAGCTCCAACAGTATATGTATATATATATATATACATATTTATATATATATATATATATATAGACCCCCCCCCTCACATCCGTGGCCCCAGAACTCCAAACTCCCGGATCCGCGCATGATCGCCCCAGGCCCCGAAGGTGGTCCCTGGGAGTCGACGCCACGGAACGAACAACACTGGCTGAGAAACCCGAACTGCCGTCCGAGATCAGGACTTGCCTCCCTCCGTTGGTGTCTGTTCAATGGGAGCCTGCGTTGCCACCGCCACTGTTCAATTTGGGACTTATTTGAACCAGATTTGGAACACATGTGGGACTGCATTGGGACTGCATTTGGACAGGATTTGCCCCAGTCGCAAGGGAGACGAGAAGAACGAGGAGGGAGAGGAGGAGCAGCAAGGGGGAGGAGGAGCGGGAGGAAGGTCCAAATGTGGTCCAAACGCGGTCCACATGCATGAAAATCTGATTTCTCCAACGTTGCCGACCAAAACTCCCATTGACAGACATCGAACCCTCTTCCGCACGGGTACGATTTGCACCATCTCTACTGCATCTTTGAGCTTCGGGTTTCCTTCCCCAAGCACAGTGGATATGGATACCAATCTGGCACCCAGACGTTAGACTCTTATCCATATCCGCTGCGCCTCGGGCTGTCGGTGCCTCGTCCCAAACAAGAAGCCCAAGACTTCGGTCGGGCATGTCCCCCTACAGGCGCATGTTCGACGAATAATTGAAAACACAATCAAATAATAAACCAAAAGCATCAACAATAGCAGAAACATCGTGCCCAGACACTCTGTTTTACTATTGTTGAATGCTCCTCCTGACGAGGGACATGCCCGCCTTGACCCGAGACGCCAACAGCACATGGCTACAGACCCCTGCCCGCACCCCCTGCCGGCGACGAGCGGGGGCTGGCCCGTCGAGCTCGTGGTGCCGCAGTGCTCCAGCGCCCCGGACAGGCCGTCCCGCGCCCCCGACAGCCCGTTGCCTGCAGGGGGCGCCCCGGCCGGCGCGCCATGTCCCCCTACAGGCGGATTCGTCGTCGATGTGGGCGATGCGTCGTCGACGTGGGCGATGCATCGGTGACGCTGGCGTGGAGAAAGTGGGGCTCCGCATCGAGCCGCGTTGCCGATGCATCGGCGATGCGGCGCCATCCTTCGACCCCATCTGCTCCGACCCCACATAGGAGGCCTAGAAGGACCCCCTCCTGAGCCGCACAGCGCACGGCCTTCCAGCACGGCGCGGCGCGGCGCAGCAGGATTCGCCGTACAACCCCAGACAGGCTCGCGGCGCAACAGACATCAGGACGGGAGGCTTCTGGCAGGCTTCGGCCCCTGGGAGCCCCCGCCGGCCCTCTGGACCGTAAGGCAATGGCAAAGGGCCGAGAGTTCCAAGGGCCATTTATGGAGAATCCTTCGTTTGGAATGAAGTGTTCAAACAGTCACGATACATGATTTAGAGATTTTTGTTTTTGACATGATAGCGAAAAAACGCTACTGAGCAACAATTGGTCATGACTGAATTGCATGTCACTGTCGTGCTCCAATGTGTATGTCCACCCGCATTGAAAACATCAGGACGTCGCATGTCTGGGGCCATCTTGGGCGAGAACTGACGGGGGAGAGAAACATGGCCTCTTGGGCCATCAAAAGGGCCCATTCTCGGCAGCCATCGCCGCCCCCAGATTCGTCGCCGCCACACTCCTCCCCATCCTCCTCCTCCTCCTCCTCCTCCTCCTCCTCCCCCTCCTCCTCCTCCTCCTCCTCCTCCTCCTCCTCCTCCTCCTCCTCCTCCTCCTCCTCGTCCTCCTCCTTCTCCTCCTCCGCCTCCCCCTCCTCCCCCTCCTTCTCCTCCTCTTCGTTCTCCTCCTATTACGCCTCCTTCTCAATGGGTTACGCTCGTATTTCTCGCGGCGTGAACAAAAATCATGACGGACGGTTTGTAGCCATCTCTGGCCCCTGGGTGCACTCAAAGGGCCCCCCGGACCGTCAGAGAACCGCGTTGGGAAAAACCACGCCGCTGGAGGCCTGGGGCCAAAAAGACTTTACAAGGAAGCCAAACAAGGAACGAAGCGGGTTCCCTGGCCACGCCAAGCTTCGGCCAAGCTTGGGCCCTGCGCCCTCAACATCTGCGAAGCAGCCCGACAACCAGAGCCCCCCGGGAGCCCCAAATGGGCCGTACTCCAGCGTCTCAACTCTACCGTTGCGCGTTGCAGCGCTGCGCCGCATAATTACCCAGACATCCGGATGCTCAACTTTTTTCGGTGCGCGGGCCCCAGAAATCCGGACCCTTGCCCCGGGACCGGTCTTCCGTCCTGAGCCGTTTTCTGACCCCCCCGAGGCCCAGCGAGGGCCCTTAGAGGCCGAAAATTGCCAACAACCGCCCGCTCCAATTTTATTTGGAACGTCGGATCTCTCGGTATACAGCACGTCGCAGCACAGGACGGCACCGACTGTCCCAACTCCTCCTCCTCCTCCTCCTCCTCCTCTTCCTCCTCTTCCTCCTCCTCCTCCTCTTCCTCCTCCTCTTCCCCCTCCTCCTCCTCCTCCTCCTCCTCCTCCTCCTCCTCGTCCTCCTCCTCCTCCTCCTCCTCCTCCTCCTCCTCCTCCTCCTCCTCCTCCTTCTCTTCCGCTTCTCCTCGCTCCTCCCCCTCCTCCTCCTCCCCCTCCTCCTCCTCCTCCTCCTCCTCCTCCTCCTCCTCCTCCTGCACCCAACGCCGCGCCCTCGCAGCGCCGTCGAGAGGCCGCTCCGGAGAGAAGGGCACCTAAACATGGCCTGGGCCGCGAGGCGCGAATCTGGATCGTCTCCTCGCGCCCCTGGGGGAGGACCAGGCGTGTCCCCTACAGGCGCATCTTGTAGGAAAGATGAAGAAATATGCACACAATACTTCAACATTATTAAAAAATGATGGAAAATCGTCCCCAGACAAATTCAGGACACTGTCTGCAAATGTTGTACACCATGTGATTGTCTCTATCGCGGTCCCTCTATCGCTCTCGGTTCCAGCTCCGTCTCTGCGCAGATCTAGAATTATGCGTATGTGTGTATACATATATGTATATATACATATACATATACGCATGTGTGGTTGGTGTGGTTGTGCATATATATATATATATGTACATGTGTATATGTGTATATATACACACTAGAACCATCGCTCGCGCGTTTCCCTTGCGCTCAAGTTCTAGCTAGGCTTGATAGACTAACTCATGTAATATCATTGTGGTCGCTTCTTGCGTCCAGGGACTCCCTTGGAAGCCCTGCGCAAACTTCGGAATCGTATAGAACGGGAAGTGCGGAAACGCATACATCATGAATTTACTTCAGGTGTTCAACGATTTGGTGCCCTCAATGGCTTCCTGGGTTCTTCTTCGGGAGGTGAGGGGGGCCCGAATTGTGGTCTGTTGTGCAAGAAAAACTGGGGGCCAAACTTGAAAAAAATACTTGTGGGATTTCCGTGTTTTTCCATTTCCTCGGCGCTGTTCGGCGCTGGTTTTTGTTTGTGCCTCGCGGGTTCTGTTAGCCGGGCCTCTCAAGGGTGTGGGATCTTCCGGACCCCCTGGGGCTCTGGAGGCCTCATGGAGGCCTGGAGAGCCGTCGGAAGGGTGTCTCGGGCTGCGCGGAAGCATGTTGGGCCGTTCTTTACGTTCTGGGGGCTCCTTGGGGTCGTCATGGGCTGTCCTTCGGCATCTTGGGGTCTCCCCCCGGGAAGCCTGGAGGCGCAGTACCGGCCAGATGTCAGGGGATGTGTAGGACCCCCGAGTAGGAGTCCCACTTTTAAAAAAGGAGGGAATTCTGGGAATTCCATTTTTTTCTCAAAATCCTCGAACTTCGAGGGTTGAAATAGGAAAACGTGAGACGATTCTACCCTGTTTGGGTTCTCTCGGGACGGCTCTCGCAGCTCTCTTGGCCTGCTCTTGGAGCCTCGTCGGGGTCTTTTTGGGGCCCTCTCAAGGATCGGAAGTGCGTTGGGGGCCTGTGGGGGGTCCCGGAGGCCTCTCGGAGGTCTCTGGAAGCCTTGGGCCCATCTCGGGCCTGCTCTGGGGTGGTCTGGGGGTGTCCTGGGCGCCTCTTCGGCAGTCTTGGAGCCTTCTTGGCCCGTCTTGGGGCCGTCCTGAGGGCCTCTTGGGTGGTCTTGGCGCGGTCTTGGGAGCCTCTTGGGCGCGCTTGGACCGTTGGAAGCTCGAAAACGCGATAAGCCAAAAACATTCTTTTTAAACAATGAAAATCCACGATTTGGGCATCTTCGGGCCGTCCCGGGAAGCCTGTCGGACCTCTCTTGGGGTTTCCTGGAAATTGCTACGAGCCTCGAGAGCCGTCGGAAGGCTGCTGACTTGGGCTGCTTGGGAGCGTCTTGGACCATCCTTTCGCATTCTGGGCGCTCCTGGGAGTCGTCTTGGGCCCTCCTAGAGCGGTACGGGAAGCGTCCCCAAAATGTGGCGGGGAGGAGTGGCACCCAGGCCGCCGGTGGGGGGGGGTGGCGGAATTTATTTATATGATACATGTATATATATATATAATTACGCATATGTAGATGTCAATGTATGTATGTGTATAGATATACATATGTTTGTGCATATACACATATATATATATACGTACATAGATACACATGCACACGTACACAAACATACGTGCTACAATCACACAAACTCTGTATACCCTCAAGGGCCGATGTGCCCCGTGATCTCTGGCGATGCGGTGCGATGCGACCAACGTTGTGGACAGCGCATGCGCCAAGCCCTGACCAGGTGGGAGACGCCGTGGCCTCGAGAATCTGGCTTGTCTGGATCAGTGCGAGACACATGGAAACCAAGAAGAAGAGGAAGAGGAAGAAGACGAAGAGGAAGCCCTTGGTGTCGGTGGCGGCGCGGCCTGCGCGTGTCGTCTCGAGTTTCTCTGGGCGTTCACTTCATAGCTCTCGGTCCTGGGTGTGTGCTGGTGTGATGTCGGTGTACTAATGTTCGAACGCCGCCGACGTTGCGCTACCTTCAGCGTTTCTTCGTCCATATGACGTCGGTTGGTTGCCCTCTCGATGGGGCGTGGATGGTCGGTGGAAGTCTGGTGTGCGTTGGCGTGCGTAGGCGTTGATCTCGTCGTCCCAACGATGGCGTTGGCTACCGTGCTGCCCCTGTCCCTTCTGGCGCCGGCAAAGGCCTGCTCGCTAGCGTAGCACTCGCCATGTCCACCTTTCTCGGTCGTGGTTGGCGACTCTTGAAGTCATGCGCCATACTTTCGCTTGTGTATTCCAAATCCCTTCTTCATCGTCCACCAGGTCCGGTTTTTTAGGGCGCCTTTTTTGTAACGGGGAGGGTACGGTTTATCAGGGCGCTCTCTTGGGATCGGAACTTAGGCGGTCTGGTTTATCAAGGCGCCCCGTCGAAGAGGGGGGTCCGGAATATTAGGTCGCATTCGGAGGGGGGTCCCGATTTTTAGGGCGGGTCGAATCATCAGGCATTTGGAATGCCGTCACCCAAATTGTCGGCGCCGTGAAGCTTCATCCGGTGATCTGCTCGTCGCCGCATCGTTCCCTGAATGTATCCGCCCCAAGGCCCCACCGGGTCTGCAAGAGTGCCGTCGTCGCCGCTCTCGCTGTGCGTGTCGGGCGTGATCGGTGTGCCGTGCTGAAGTCAACAGCTGTGTGTGTCGGCGCCGGGGCTGATGATGCTGTACTCCAGATCTCGTAGTAAAAGGGAGGGGGTCTGGACCCTCGAAGACAAGCCATTTCAGACCCCCCCCCGTGGGAGAACCCTCCAAAACAGCGTCCCCAGACCCCCCCAGGCCCTCCAGGATAGCCTGGAAGAGACCCCCCCCGAAATGAGACCCCCCTCCCTTTATTACGAAATCTGGAGTAGCCGTTGCCTGATGTCTCGTTGCTGGCTGCTGTGAAGGTGTGTTTGCTTTGTCCTCGCGATTCGTCGCGGTGTTCTGGCGATGGATCGAAGCGTGCGCCGCTGTGTCCGTCGTGAGCGAGCGCTGCCGCCAGGGGGTTTCCGCGAGCGTCCACGTGGCGTCTCCGGACAAGATCGTCGGTGTCAGTGCTGTTGAATACTCCAGATTTCGTAATACAGGGAGGGGGGTCTCATTTCGGGGGGGGTCTCTTCCAGGCTATCTTGGAGGGCCTGGGGGGGTCTGGGGACGATGTTTTGGAGGGTTCTCCAACGGGGGAGGTCTGAAATGGCTTGTCTTGGAGGGTCCAGACACCCTCCCTTTTATTACGAAAACTGGAGCAGCCGGGGTCGATGAGCCAGAAATTGAAACTTGCTGCTGGTCAGCTCTTGTTTGCGGGAAACGGACGACGCGCATGCTGCTCCCGTGCGGTGGCGAATGTCTGTCCTTCGGCCCGTGGAAGCTGACACATTGGCCGAGGTATGGGCGACTGCCCGCGTGCGGAGTGACTTGTATATCCATGTCTTAGACACGTGCTGTGCGTGAGCTCTCCCTCCCCATCTCGTCTGGTTGTTTCGTGATTTGATGTTGTTCGGGTGGAGTTCGACCCCGTGCGGCAGTGCCGCGCGCGCAATGTCGTCGATCATCGTGAGAAGACGCGGGGGAGCGTGGCTGCTCCAGAGCATGTCGTCGGCGGGCCAAGCGAAGGCTGGTAAGCGTGAGTGCTGCTCGCGAGTGCCAACTCAACCCCCTTCACTTTCCGCTGCCATTCGGAGACCCGCGGGCCTAAGATGTGTTGTAGAGCAGCGCTTGAAAATGGGAGGCTTAGTGGGTCCCCCTGCTTCGTGCCCTGGAGAAGGCTGAAGAGCCTACTGTTGACGCTAGTTTTCACCGTAGCTGTCTGTCCCTCGCTGAGCTGCTGAAGTAGCGCAATGTATCCCATTTCTACGCCTTGTGTTCTCAATGCTGCCCAGATGCCCTTGTGATCAACTGCATGGAAAGTTTTGTTGACACCAGGTGCCCCCACCCATGTTGGCCCCATTCGTGCGCCCGCTCACGTAATAGGTGGGAGGTGAAGGGGAGGTCACTGGTTCAGTGGCCTGGTCTGAAGACCGCCTTGCCAGCAGTCTGGTGGGAGCGAACTTTGAATCCCACCAGCCCTTTGGGCGTCGGTGGTTTCGGAAGTTTCCTGTTCCACCCCTCCTTCTTCCCCTTCGAGGAGGGGTTTACCCCTCCCCCTCCCCCCTCCCCTGGACCTGGACAGGGGTTTCCGCGAGGTGTCGGAGCGTCCAAAAACGGCCTCGGCGAGGAAGCACAATTCATCGGTTTTACTATAGTCTTGGCTGTATCTTGGCCTCCTGAGGGGGGGGCTCTAATTAGCCACCCCCTCTCCTGTGATCGATCTCACCCAAGATGGCCCAAAGATGGCCCCCACGGCTCCCAAGGGTGCCCCGAGATGGCCCCAAGAGGTGGCCAGGAAGCCCCAAGAGGCCCACAGGATGCCCCCAAGAGGCTCCCAAGAGACCCCCAAGAGGCCCCAAGAGACCCCCCAGAGGCACCCAAGATGCTTCAAGAGGCCTCGGCGAGAATGCCAAATCTTTGATTTTATAATTATCCCGGCAAAGCAACCTAACATCGATATGTAGAAGCATAGCTGGAGGCATGCAGCAGCAGTAACAGTCACAGTAGTAGTAGCAATAAGAGTAGGAGAGATGAAACAGTGGTAACAGTGAAGTAGTAGTTGTAGTTGGCGGGAGTGAACGAGTGAAGTGTAGTAGTAGTAGTGGGTGTAGTGGTAACAGCGAAGTGAAGTATAATTGGAGTGGGTGGATGGCAGTAGTAGTAACAGTGAAGTACGGCGGATGTCTTGGATAGTAGAATGGTAATAGGGGAAGTTAGCCCCCGTAGTAACGGTATCAGTAGACCGCGGAAGAACGGCCGGTTCCGTCGGAAAGATTGCAATGTGGGAGGCACGTCCTGAACCAAAGGCGGCTGTCAAGACAATGTAGACCGCGGAGGAACGGCCGGTTCCGTCGAAAAGATTGCAATGTGGGAGGCACGTCCTGAACCAAAGACGGCTGTCAAGAATGTGGCCCGGGAATGGAGTTCTGGGTGGCGTACAGCTGGCTCCGGGCATTCAGAATGTGGCCCGGGAATGGAGTTCTGGGAGGTCGAAGAGCACGAAGTGTGTGACTGTTTGCGAAAAACGAGGTTCCGCGGATCCCCCCGGAAATCCCCAACGGCTCCCCAACGGCTGCCCAGACCCCCCTGTGGAGTAATGTGCTGCTCTCTTTTTAGCCCATTAGAAACCTATCAGTCTTCGATGTTAGGTAAAAAGATTTTAGCCACATATTGGCCTCTTGGGGGGGCACTGATTATGATGACTCCAAGAGCGCCTGGGAGAGCCCAACATAACCTCCAAGATGGCTCAAGATATCCCAAGATGTCTCATAATGGCTTCCTCTGTGTGCTGCCCACTTCCCTGATCGAACCAATTCCTCTGGGCATCGTTTCTGGATGGGCTGGTGGGGATTCGCGAAGCGTCAACAAGTTAGCCTGTTGTGTAGCAGTCGGCTGAAGAGCTTGTACAATAATGGTATCGCGCAAATGGGGCGGTAGTTGTGGAAATATGAGATAGCCACCTTCTGGGTTTACTGTGGCAAACTGTGCTCCTCCAGCTGGCCGGCGGCGGGGCGCTGCGTTGCAAGATCGTGTTGTAAAACTGGCAACGTGCACATCTGAATTCTTCTGTACCCTCCTTGAGCATTTCTGTGCGGAGGCCTTTGATCGCTTTGTTCAGCTCCCCGACCAAGTGTGGAAGGTGGTAGTCGGTGGGTATGCTGGTCGGTGGTCTGTTGTCCGTCTGCTAGGCTGCTCGTTGACATCGGTGGTCGGTCAGCTGGTCTGCTGGTCGGTCCGCTGGTCGGCCTGCTGGTCGGTTGTCGGTGTGGTTGTCGTTGGGTATGCTGGTTCCCTAACTTGTACTGTTTGTTCTCTCGCCTAACCTGTATTACCATTATCTGGCATGTTGTCTCTACGCACTACTACATATCCGACCCTGGTCGCATTCTGATCATGGTCGCAAACGCACAGAGCAACTCGAGAACCGAAAAAAACCAACGTATCATGAATCCTGGACCCAAAACTGGAACACGAGAGCCCTGCCGCCCATCGAAATCTGCCCGGGACCCAAAATCGCGAACCTTGGCACCGTGTTGCCTGACAAAGGCGGCCCAGCCACTGTCGCCTATTCTTTTAGTTTTCCATGAGAGCTTTCAGTACAAGCACTGATTGGGGAACTAGTCTCTCTGCTGACTCTCTGCTGTATAATTTCTCTGACTCTATCTCTCTTTCTCTCTCTCACTCGTCCTGTCACACTCTCCCTGCCCAAACGAGGGGGCGGCCGCGGTTGTGGCAGTGCCGAAATGCGCAGAGAGTCCAGCAAAGCTTGCGGGTGCAAGCCCGGCTTGCCTGGCTGCTGTTGAGGGGGGGCTGTGCTCAACGATGAACTGTTATCCTAACCTGCAGAGTGGGCGCTCTCCCTTTAGTGGGTCACCCCAATCTTCTCCCTTGGCCATTCGTCGTTGGCCTCACTGGTTTTCCGCGCCATCTACGAAAACATGCGTACGCGTACACAATAAACTGGATACGAAGCCTGACTCTCTCTCTCTATATATATATAAACTCGGCCTCTCTCTGCCACTCCCTGTTCCGTTTACATCTCTATAGATAGGTATAGACATACACGCAATGTGTGTGAACATATGTAAGTACACATCTAGGTTATACGCGCAAGCCTTGTGTTCAATTCTGTGCCCTTACTACATGATTTCTTCTCTGATCTCGTCACTTCCTCAACTCTCACCATGACAATGGCCGCACGGACCTGGGCATTAGGCCGCAACCAGAAATGCGCACACCCGGGCCTCTTACGACGCTGGAAGCTCCGGACCCGGAACAAAGAACCCAAGGAAACTGGAACCTGGGAACCCAGGAACCCGGATGCGGGAACCCGGAACTCAGGCCCCCCCACCGAAATCGGCGCCGTACCTGCGCCTGCTCCTGCAATCTCTGCCAGGACCCCTCTCAGAGCAAACACCGATTGCTCCAAATTCCTGACTTGTCCCCAGGGTCCGGTCTTCTCAGGCGCCTTTTTTGTAACTGGGGGGGTCCGGTATAATAGGGCGCTTTCTTTGGACTGGAGCCGAGGGGGTCCAGTAAGGCGCCCCATCGAAGAGTTTAGGTCGCATTTGGAGGGGGGTACTCCAAATTTCGTAATAAAAGGGAGGGGGTCTGGACCCTCCAAGACAAGCCATTTCAGACCCCCCCCCGTGGGAGAACCATCCAAAACATCGTCCCCAGACCCCCCCAGGCCCTCCAAGATAGCCTGGAAGAGACCCCCCCCGAAACGAGACCCCCCTCCCTTTATTACGAAATCTGGAGTACGGTTTTTCAGGGGGGGGTCGATTAAGAAGGCATCTGGGGTGGGGAAGTGCTGGCACGCCGCCCTGGGAGGCACTCCGCGCGCCGCCGTGGCCCGAAGGCGCCACGCCTTCGCGAGCCAGAGCGAGGGAGCAGCACGCCGACGGGTCCTCCCAGCGGCGGCGTGCCGTGCGGGTGGAGCGCTCTGTGGGTCCCTCGCGGGTGGAGCGTCAGGTCGGGCGTGTCCCCCTACCAGAGGGGCTCTTTGGACGAAATGATTTCGGACACAAGTTATCAAAAATGGTTTAAAAAAAAAACAACAATCGTCCCCAGGCTGCTTGTTTGACTACTCCAAATCCTTCGATAAGCACCCCCCCCGTACCAACCTGTCCGACGCCCCTTGCCCGCCCCCCCACGCGCCCCAAACCCACCCCCTCTCGCTCCCCAACCTCCCCACGCCCCCCGCCCCCCGCGATCCACCCCCCCCCCGCTTGTTGAGAGACCCGGAGTGTGTTTGAAGACTCCCCCTGCAGAGGGAAAAGGCCCGACCTGAGTGGGGCGGGGGGGAGGCCAGCCTCCGCCCGGAGGCGCAGGAGGCGGCGGGGGGGCGCCCATGAGCACGTTAGCGACGACGAAGGCCAGCTGGCGCTGCGTGATGGCGACGACCTTTCGCTCTCACGGCGCGGACACTCCAGGGCCGTTCGCCGCTGCGTTCGGCAAGGACGCTGCTGATGTTGCAAGGATCGCGCTCGTCGAGAGTGCACGGTTCGCACTCCTGTCCTGAGTTCAATTGCGTAGCTCCCTACGCTCGACTCGCTGAGTAAGCTTGGATCACCGTTGACTCTCGACTTGGCTTCGCCGTGCTCCCAGAACCAATCGCAAGCTGTTGTGTTGCTAGATGTGCTTGAACACAAGGGGCAGCGATAGGAGGTCAAGAAAAGGCTCATCACAGGTTGCCACGTGATGCCTACCAGAACACACACACACAAGCGGCGGCCGTGGTGACATGGTGATGACCACATGTGTTTCGTTGACGGTGCCAAGGCCACACTCACCAGGTACAACACAGTGGGAGCAATCCCGGCCCTTCCGGACACACGGCCACGATCTCGTAACCCAAGCCATAAAGGCCAAACACGGACGATTCAGACCTGGTTGTAGAGCAACTCCCTTAAACCGGGCTCTCTCATGCGGTGCATCGGCCTCATTACGTCAAGCATGGCTCAATTCGACCATAACTCACATGGTATAACACATGGCCTTGATTCAGACATCCCGGCCGCATCGTCATTCCCAAGCTACTGCTTGGCCGTACCATACAGCTGGTTTTGACTATGTTTACTCAAAAGACAGTTTGAGCTGTGCACGTCTAGCAATTGGACCAACCAACCGCAGTTCGTATTGCCTTCCATGGGGGTCCGCTACTGGTCCGACACTGCTGGTCTGTTGCAAGCGCGGATTCTACATGCATTGCTAGAACACGCGCGCTTCGCGTGCTCAGGTCCTTCTCGGCTTTGGGCTTGGGGTGCAGCGAGGTAGAGGCCGTGAGCACATAAGCGAATTCTACGAGCTTGAAGCCAACGTATTGTGCCGAAGGCTCGACTAGGGTCATCGCTCGGTTCAGAGTGGAGAAAACACAACTGAACACACACATGCACACACACACACACACACGCAAACACATACACACATGCATACGCGCAGCCACAACATCCGCCCGCTGTGCACCCCTACCCCAGCCCCCTTGCACAGTCCACCGACTCAAGGACGGGGTAATTAGGGAGGTGGAGAGGAGAAGCGAGCGGGGAGGCAGGCCGATGGGGGGATGGAACAAAGAACAGAGAGGCTGGACGAGAGACACGGGGAAAAAGAGGAAGAGGCAGAACACATGAGAAGGACGATGATGGTGAGGAGCACGGAATACGCAATCAGGACGCAGGGAGGAGGAACGTTGTGGAAGAACACGAAGAACAATGCGGAGTATGACGAGGAAGATGAGCCAGAAGATGCACGATGGAGAAAGAGGGCGCGCTTCCTTGCAGAATGAGGATGAGGATGAGGAGGCGGAGGAGGAGAAGGAGGCGGAGGAGGAGGAGGAGGGGGAGGGAAGAGAAGGAGGAGGAGGGAGGGAGGGGGGAGGGAGGGGGGGGGGGAAGGGAGGAAGGGGGAAGGGGGGGAGGGAGGGAGGGAGGGAGGGAGGAGGGAGGGAGGGAGGGAGGGAGGAGGAGGGAGGAGGAGGAGGAGGAGGAGGAGGGGAAGGGAGGAGGAGGGGGAGGGAGAAGGAGGGGGAGGGGGGGAGGAGGAGGAGGAGGAGGAGGAAGAGGAGCAAGAGGTGCGTGGGGAGAGGACTACTGCCGGTGAGCAGCAGGAGGGGCTCCGTCGCCTCTTCAGCGGGCCCGACCTCTCGCTGGTGTTAGGTCGGGCGTTTCCTCCTACAGGGGGATCTTGGACGAAAAATGAAGAATAGCCAGAACATACCTCAACACAGTCAAAAAGTAATCCAAAAATCGTCCCCCGACTATTTTGTCTGACTGCTTCCGGATACTCCTCCTGTAGAGGGACAGGCCCGACTTCGCGCCAGGGGCTGCGGGCCGCCACCTCGTCGCTGCCCATCGGGTCGGGCGAAAGGGGGGGATAGCAAAGGGGGGGGGGTGAGAATCAACGCACGCAACTGATTTTCCCGGCGCCTCCCGGCGCCGGGAGGCGGCCATGTATCGAGGAATGGGCCCCTCGGTGAGGCCGAAACCAGCTGCATGCAGCAGATGTCGTACCCCCCCCCTTTCCCTACCTCCCCCTCTCGCCCTGGCCCGAGCCCAGCGCAGGCCTCGAGGTCGCTGGGCCCGCATCGCCCCCTCCCCGAGGCCGGGCCCTGGCCGGAGCCGCTCGCGCGGGCCGCGCCCTCGACCGCGGCCTCGCCCCCTCCGGGCGCTCGGCACAGCTGCCGGCGCCGGGGCGGCTGCACCCCCTCGCCGCGCCCTCGCGCGCGCTCCTCCAGGGGAAGCAAAACAAACAAACAAAAAAAACGTGCCCCTCCTCCTCCTCCTCCGTGCCCCTCCTCCTCCTCCTCCTCCTCCTCCGTGCCCCTCCTCCTCCTCTCCCTCCTCCTCCTCCTCCGACCCCCCTCCTCCTCCGTGCCCTCCTCCTCCGTGCCCTCCTCCTCCGTGCCCTCCTCCTCCGTGTCCTCCTCCTCCGTGCCCTCCTCCTCCTCCGTGCCCTCCCCGCGTCTGCCCTCCTCCTGCGGCCGCGTGTCTGCCCTCCTCCGCCGTGCCCTCCCCGTGCCCCCCTGCCCCTGCCTCCGGGGCGCGCCTCTCCCAGGAGAGAGGCGCCTCCGGAGGCTTCCCGGGGAGGCCTGCGGAGGGGCCTCTCGGGCCTGGGGAGCCTCGACGACCCTCGATCCCGTGCAACCCCGTTAGGTGGCCACGTGTGAACCCCACCCCCGCCCCCCACGATTTCTGACGGGGGGGGGATCCACTCCACTCGGGACCTTCCGAACGAACCCCCCACCTGCCCTGTAGAAATCGTGGGGGGTCGGGGTAATTAGGGATCGAATGTGGCCACCGAACCATGCCCCCTATTGCCCCTCTGTCTCCCTCTCTGGCACAAAAGGCAAAAGGACTCCGAGGCAAACGTGCGCTGGACCCCATGGGGTCCCCCAGAGGACTTGTTCTCCGACCCGAGCTGCTTTTCTCCTCCCCAAGCTGCGTGCGGTCACTGCTCCTGCCCCGCGCGTGCCTACCGAGAAGCGCCCGCTGGTTTGTTAGCGCGTCTCGCTCGAGACGTCTCTGGAATACCATCAGCCCGACATACGTAATATTTGGGAGATCCGGGCGGATGTGTCGGGTCGGGGCTGCATCCCCCTCACCTGGCGCGCGAAGCGCGAGAGGGGCGACGCCGAAGGCGCCGCAGGGGAGGGGTCAAGCGCCGACCAACGAAATCCGTTTGGACCCCCGAAATTGGGCGCCCGACTTATCCGGGGTAACTCGGGTCCAGGGTAACTCGGGATTGGATTCCCGAAAAAGGAACCCGAGTTAGCCCTGACCCGAGCTATCCCTGATGATTTGGGGCTCTGGACGCCCGAATTATCCGGGGTAACTCGGGTCTGGGCATGTCCGAAAGTTGATGCATATGCAGCTGAACCCCACCTGACAGGTTGGGGTTGCGAGGAAAGACCCCCCGACCCGCCCCGCACACGCTGCAAATCGCGGCCGCCAGGCCCAAAGTATGCCAGAGGGCTCCGTGGGGATTCCGCCCCGGATCTTCGACGCGTGGCGACTGCAAACCGCGGCCGCCAGGGCCCAGGTGGGCCGCTGCTCTCTCGGGGTCCCCATGATGTATCTTCGCGACTGCCTCCTGCCAAAATAAGCACGCATTTTTCCCCCAGGAAGCCCCAAGAGGCCCCCACGAGGCTTCCAAGCGGCCCCTAAGAGCTTCCCAAGAGGCCCACAAACTACCCCCAAGAGGCCCCCAAGAGCGCTCGTCGTCGTCGTCGTCGTCGTCGTCGTCGCCATTCAGGGTCGGCGGCACCGGCCGTAAGGCCTTCGCAATAAGCACGCCTTTTTTTGGAATCGGCGCAGGATGGGCGTCGGAATCGAAGCCGGATTCCGGAGGTCTGTGACGCCCGCAACCGAGCGGCCGCCACCATCGAAACTGCCGCGCACATGGGCCGGGGGCGGCCAAGAGGGGGGGGGCCAAGAGGAGGGGGGTGCAAATCATGACCGGCGGCATGCGCGCGGCCTATAGGGGGGGGCCAGGTGCCAGGGCCAAGAAGAGGCACCATGGAATATGTGGAGATATGATGGCACACGCCATCATATCTACTCCAGATTTCGTAATAAAAGGGAGGGGGTCTGGACCTCCAAGACGAGCCATTTCAGACCCCCCCCCGTGGGAGAACCCTCCAAAACATCGTCCCCAGACCCCCCAGGCCCTCCAAGATAGCCTGGAAGAGACCCCCCCCCCCGAAATGAGACCCCCCTCCCTTTATTACGAAATCTGGAGTACCCCCCCTAGTCCTCACCCCCTCTCTGCCGGCCCCGAATAGGCAATGGCAGGCAAAGAAAAGGCACCAGAAAGATTACGACAGGTCCACGACGCGGTGGCGTCGGCCCCAACTTCTGACACCGCGTGGATCGTTCGACCATGGCCGATCCTGGCTCCCCGATGGCGCAGACCGTTCAATACTAGCCGAGATCAGGCAGCACGGTCAGCCTTGAGCGATCGCGCTGGGGTCCTGGCCGCGTCAGCACGACGCGGAGCGGACCTGCCGCACTCGGACAAGGACGAGGACGAGGGAGTGAGTCTGATCTGTACAGCGGGAGGGCGCAACGCCCCGAAGAAAAACATCGCACGCGTGCGCCTCTGAGACTTGCGGACGGGGAGCTCCATTTATCCGCGTCAGGCGCCGAGATACTTGCTCTCTCGCTCGCGCGCTCTCTTGGGGAGAGATGCGGGAGCAGTAGCATTGGAAGAAGAAAAGGAGAAGAAGAAAAGGAGAAGAAGACGAAGAAGAAGAAAAAGGAAAAGAAACAGAAGAGGAAGAAGAAACGTCACCAATCGAGAGTCTGCGTGGATCTCTTGGATCTGCGCTGGACCCCCCCTCCTCTGGCGAGCGGAGCGCGCCAGGAACGACGCCACAGGCGCCGGCGGGGGGAGCGGGGGGGCCCGGCGCA